ATCACATGCAAACTACACCTCCGTTTTCGGGAAAGAGTACGTGATGAAACAACACCGAACACCTCCATTACCAAATGTCTTACTACCAAGTTGACATTGTCGCCTAACTTGGCAGCAAGTTTTTGGGGGACACGAGGAAAGCATGGAAAGGTCCCCTCTACTCAACACCAAAAGCAAGAAACGGCTTTCAAAGAAGATGGAGGCCAGCAAAATTGAGCTGATTGTTTCGATGCAATCAAACTTCTAGTTTGAGACCAGTTGCCAAATAAATTACTCAAGTGATTGGCCGGCTAGTAGTCATCAGCAAAAGAGGTTTACCTATGATGCTTTCACTTTTGGTCCTAAAAGACTTGTGATTTCTTCTGCACTTCATGATTTGACCAAGAGTCTTCGGCCGCGTAAGATGGTGTTTAGTGTCTCTCATCCTACTCAGCGCTCTCAGTTGTCATAAAAACATGAATGAAAGGATAGAGGGGATCAATAAGTGTCTGAATGCGAGTCAACTTTTATTAAAGAGCCTTCAGCCGAAGGGAAGCTGTGAAATTCCGACGCCATCCCCTTAGCGGTAGTGGGTGTTTTTATATTGAAACAGTACATGAAAGTATCATTTGGACTCATGATTGACAAATAACATACAAGTAACTTGATAAGTCCTGGAGCGACCCAATCGGACAAGATTCGGTATATCGGTAACCGCACAAGCGATATACGACGTGAAGCTAACGCCGTCGAGCCGACGAGAAGTTCAATCCAATGGAGAGCTGCGTTGGGACTTAGATCTTTCTGAATCTATCTGAAGGAGACGATTCACTAGTTTGTTCAAAAGTTTGCGCTATCTTTTACTAACGTCGTAACACATTTGATTACAAAAATGTTCTCTGTCCACGCAGACATCAAAGCCTTCACCTCCGAATACTAGTAGACGGTGAGCTGAGTTTTGATTTAGCATTCCAATTTAGTTAAATCAAGCTGAGTGGGGATACCCTAAATCTACCGGAATTTCAGTAGTCTGATCGTCAAAACTTTGTTCAACTCTTAGTTATGCCACAGGTGTAGAAACAATGAATCGGTCTCTCTTTTGGCATTCGTGCAGACTTGAGAACAAGACCAAAAGAAAAATAGGAAAAACTAACCAAGTATACCGACTCGTCGGGAAGGTTAGCACAGAATCGGGATCTTTTTTCCGACCGAACCGATTTATTTCTAGCCAGCTGACTGTCACTGAGAGATTGTGAATTCTGGATTAATGCAGCTCTCAAGATTGATGATGGCGGTAATGTAAATGAGAGAGGAACAACGAAAGCTCGCCGCACCTCGGTGATGCGTGAAAGTACGGCTGCTGTCTCAACTGGTTATTTACAATATAAAAAACGTTCTATTCTCTGAAAATGAGCCGTCACTCCCGTACTCCGGAGGATGAAATGTCTATTCTGGATAATTAACTTAATGCTGTGAAGAACACGTTCTGTAAAATTTCAAATTCAAATGTTATCCATCCCTAGACAAATAAAGACACGATAATTCGCGTAATCCCTAACCCCAGTTAGAACTCAAATGTTGTCAATCGGACTTTAGTCCAGAGTGTAAGTGAGCCAGTCCGTGGTCTTGGGGCTTGATAATAAAATACTAATCCATACATTTTATCATCTTTTCAGTGCATAGATTTTGCTATACGAGAGGTAAGCATGGAGACTAGAGTAGAGTTTGGGTTTGAACCACCGACCTTCCGGTCAGTATGTTGGTACCTTAACGATGGAGCTATCTTGGGCTCTGTCGGTGCTATAGTAACTATCAGCGGGTTCTGGTATACAGTGTGTGCAACCGTGCTGAAAGTTTGTGGATGTCGATCGGTTTTTTGCTTCCGCGAACTGTGAGTAGGACGAGATTGGCAGGTCAGCCTATGCCAAGAGCCCAGAAGCACTGTACAACTGCTCTGTTATTATTGGGAATCTGTGCTCAGGTCAAAATTGCGTGTGGAGATCACGACCTCCAGACTAATGGTTGAGTACTCAACCGTTCGATCACGAGGTCTTGATCAAAAGTGTACCTAGCTTGCACTTAGAGAGGATTTAGTGCCATTCACTTTTCATCTGCTACGCACTACTGATGATTCACAATAAGGATGAAACAGCTGTACAGTGCTTGAGGGCATTTCTGCACTTCGCATACTGAAAAGATTCTTAATTGAAATCGGAAAATGAGTTTCCCAACTTGCGAAGTGTCTCAGTTCAAAATAGTAGATCATCGATGATCGAATTTTAACTTCTCCCTCCGTGCACCGCACAGGTGGTCAACTATTAAAACCAAGCTTTGTTTCGGAGCCTGGTAGAAGTTCTTCATTATTCTTCCATATTCGTTATCAAGCAGGCAGTATAGCAAATCTGCAAACAGTCGTGACGGCGTTGTATTAACTCCATGTTGCACAGGTTGCAAGACGTGACACAAGGTGTCTATGTGGTCCTGAGTAGACGAACCAATAGCTCCCTGACAGAATTCTCTCATGAGACGTAAAACGCTAAAAATCTCCGATTGTAAGCAAATATTCAAAACGTTTTAGCGGGTTATTTTATAGGGTAAATTGCCCTCTACCGCGAGATGATAAATCAATTTGGTTTTCACGAGAGACTCAACTGAATCTTTCGATTATGGTGTTCTACATTCAGTTGTAGTATATCATAAACGAGAGATTCAGTTGAGTCTCTCGTGAAAACCAAATTGATTTATCATCTCGCGGTAGAGGGCAATTTACCCTATAAAATAACCCGCTAAAACGTTTTGAATATTTGCTTACAATCGGAGATTTTTAGCGTTTTACGTCTCATGAGAGAATTCTGTCAGGGAGCTATTGGTTCGTCTACTCAGGACCACATGTAATCATCATAACTTATTCCTACCAAGTTTTGGTTTTCTTCAAACATTGTATATGCTCTAGCAAACATGTCCTTACATGTTTGAGTTCCGAGTACACTCCTCTGAGCCATTTTGTACACCCTTTATCCAGCACAAACCGGAGTGTGCTGAGGTAAAAAAAAAGTCCAGCGAGCTAGTACCGTGAGTTTTGAGCTCACTACAAGCTACTTACTTAACAGTTTGTGCATCGTATCGTTTGGTCTGAGTACAAGATCCTCGTAGAGAACCGTGAAGCACTTGTCCGTATCAGAGCACTGCTGATCCACATCACGGACGATTCTCTCCCACCGGGTGAATAATTTCTGCGGGTCAGTGATGACGCTGCTCATGCGAATCTTCCGTCTATGGTAGAAAATTCGGAATAAGGGGAGGAAGTGGGTGTATGAAGGACATTGGAAGTTAAATGCGTCCAGTATGAAAGCCTTTTATTCCATGGATGCATTGGATTTCCTAATATCTCTTGATACCATTGGTTATGATTTGAGGCGGAAGGACCCTGTTCTCACTAATAGTTCCTGACCTTGTCAACTCAAGACCTAGCTTAAAAAAGTCAAGGGCGCTGGTTTAAGCCAAAAATAACTGAACCACTGGATTGTCCTGTAAGCTTGTATGTAGACTATGGTGCTTCAAATTCATTTTACTCTGTTTGGATTATGAAGATAGTAACATTTTAATGTCAAGGTCACTTTGGTGCGAACTGTGTGGCAAATCTTCCGACAGTGCTGATATCTTGAGCAGCTTGAAACCAGTGGATATGATGACAAAAGCTAACCGCAGTCAATATGAATACTTCCTGGGGTAGACCTTTACGCCCGCACATGATTGAGTTCAGCTCTTTCCTACATGTAAATTCATTTCAGAAAGAAGATTCGTGGGATACTTTCGGTCCCGGCTAAGCCGCCCGGAACGATGCTTCCCGGAGCAAACCAAGTAAAAAATTGAAGGCCTCTTGGTTGGTATTGATGGAGGTTATGGTGAAGCGTGATGAAATTTCATCATAATGTACTAAGACATCGTGTGCTCTCACAAATCTCACCTAGGTTTAGATCACACTTCAAGATACACAAGCACCGGTGGTAACAACCTAGGTATTTTCATTTCAATTGTAGAGCAACCAGCAGGTCAAGTTATCTGTTACAGCTGACTGCTGTTCCCACTCCACTAGCTGATGCCAGAAAAGGAATTCACCGACAAGGAACACAACAGCTTTGTTACAACAAGTGAGTGTGTTCAAGCGCAAAAGTTACCACGTCCCTGCGCTTTCTGACAATGATCCAGGCTAACAGATAGGCGTTTAATGAAAACCCATCAACATCGATTGTGCTTATATGAAACGCCTGTACGCTGATCATATTTGGCCGTGTTTCTGTGATGTGCCAGAACACACATCGGCTTTTGCTGGATTGATTGAATGATTGACTGACCCGATTGCGTGTCGGCGTCCCCACTGAGATTTTGGTGGGGTTTTATGGCCTCAGTAAATCCAGGGAGTTCTAATTTTACTTCCAGGAATGTGACCTTCCCGATATAAGCTTTTTTTTGAGGTGGCTTAGCCAGTCGACTTCTGAAGGGAATTAAGTTCAAAAACTGACGCTCCTTTTGGTCGGAGAAGTCGATGGAAAGCATGTCGATATGTTTTGTCGGGGCACTTGGCTGAGTAGTACTGAGCACTTTATCTAAAATTCTCCTTTACCAAATACTGTTAACTGGTTTTTGCAGGTGCATTTGTTAAAGTTTGCTTTAAAAAAATACGTCTGTTGGCTGTTGAAAGTATTTTACGGTTGTCAAACTCATCAGATAATCGACAAGTGTGACGCTAACTGCCATATTTTTTCAGCTCGTCTGTTTGTCTGTGATTATTCACCAAGCGTTTCATTTAGAAACCTGGTTTCTCATAGGTTGACATTTATTCGAAAAATCTGCAGCGTCAACGATTTAGTGTAAACTGTGTTTCCTTGTAAATGAAATAGTTGATAATTCGGGAAATAACATCCGATCTAATGATCATAATTTTGTTCCATTCTTCCAACATCGCATCACTGGTCTAACCGCACTAACTCAAGTCAAAAAAGTGGGGAGTTTTTCTGCTTACTTCACCGCCATGTGCGACCGAAAGGAAAATGTAAAAGTTTACAAAAACATCGCTTACTTGGTGCCATTTTTAACTGTACATACTGCGCGCACTTACTTAATCATTGAGTTTGTGACCGCCCGGCCGTCTCGAACGATGTGAATAAATTTTGCTTTGGGAAACATCATCCGTAAACGACTAATGTGCTGTAACGTCAAAGGGTCCTTGTTACACAAGACCGGAGCTGGGGATCCGGCCGCATCAATGAGACTGCTGACAAAGGCGGATGAAGCCCGGTAGAGCGGATCGGGAAACAGATGTGCTGCTTCCAACCGTTGCTTTTGAAAACCTTTCTCGAATTTTTTGACCATAGTGAGTAGTGCCGGTAAGACATGTGTCTCTGGACCGCATCGGATCATTGGGTGGACATCTAACATGATGCGTAGTAATGTGGTTCCTGTAAGTTGTAGAAAATGAAAACTGAAGCGATCATCGTTCTTTAAGAGTGAATCTAAAACAAAACACTATGTGTTCTGCTAAACATATATCTTCTGTCTTGACAGTTCACTATTTACAAACAGGACATCCGCCAATGAAATAAACGCACGAGTTTCAAAGGCCAGTACGGCATTTGGTCATCTTGAAAAGTCCGTCTGGACTTGTGCGTCTATATCGAGATTGCAGTATACTGGACCATTGTATCCTCTCCACCATTGCACACGGTGAGACTTGCACACTACACAAACATATATCCGGATTCTTAATCGACTTCACCTGCACCGTCTTCACCAGTCAAATGAAGAAACCAAATTCTGAATAGAAAAGCCCTTTAAGTCACAAAAATCGTTACAATGGAATGTAGTTTAATGCGAAACCACCTCCACTGGTTGGGCCTTTTGAAAGGAATAGCGGGAAATGGCACGCAAAACTTAAATGCTGTCAAGTAAAGAATGGAGTTCCAAATCGAGAAAGCCTTCAGGTCATTTCTGAAAAGGGAAGCTTCTCCCCTGTCTGTCAAGGAAGACCTGGCGCTGAACAGAGCGTCAGGGAGAGCGGCTACCCATTGCGACATGAGTGGTTTTGAGACACAGTGCGCAACAATGCTAGAATACAACTGAGTCGGTAGGCTGCCACTCACCAGTGCAGCCTGGACTTTATAGACTTACTCAAAATGCGGATGCGCGCGATCTACTAAGGTCAAACTTGAGTGTTACTAACATACCAGTTCATCTGGTAAAGTTAACTAGTTGGCACCAGAGTAAGTCTGTTTCAAAATAGAACCTACTTACAAGGTTTCTGAAAACTCTTCGACAGCCCACGACCGGCAGGCGCAATTCCCGAATTTCCGTCAACCTTATGTTCCACTTGAACCCGAATTGGACTAATTGCGACAAGTACACTCATTTGCAATTCATGTAGTTTTCACTGGAGACTCAAGAAGAGCAAAACCGGTCGTGGGCTGTCGAAGAGTTTCCAGCAACCTTGTGGTTAGTTTCCTTTGTGAAAATATACTGCGATATCTCGAATATGTTAAACACTGAAACATGAAGCGGCCTGTGTGCGGCACATTCAGTTGAAGTACATCATAAACGAGAGATTCACTTGAGTCTCCCGTGAAAACCAAATTGGTTTGCAAATAAGTGTATTGGTCGCAGTGAGTCCGTTTCGTTTTTTTAGCCACATTGTTATCCCCTGGTGGATACAATCACAAACGGTTTATCCCTTGCTACTTTGATGGTGTGCTGATGGGCGTTCGCGGATATATGTTGCATAGGACTATACTGGGTCAAGTGACGGATGATACCGGTACCTTAATAAACAAGCAACTGTCGCCGATGCTCACTGTTGTTTTAATCGTGTTTAGGGTGGCTGAGGGCTTGCGACGAACCTCAGCATGTTTATCGATCATTCTTATCCCTTCAAATTCACATCAGCTGTTAGTTTCGTAGGCTGTAGGGAGATTTCCCAATCCAGTTTCAGTTTCATTCCGCAGTTGTTCTAGTTCCATGCTGAAAACCGAGAAGCGCCATGTAGCGCTGTCATCTTTCCTAGCGCACAGTCCATGCATCTCTCTTGGGAAATGGAAGCTCACAGCCTTCTGGTTAGCAGGTGGTAAGTATACTATCCGGTTACTGGTGGCCGGTAAGCTATGTGATGAACTCGCACTTGAACAGGATCACAAATCAGTCATACAGTTCAAGCTATCTGATCCAGCGTCAACTGGGTGATCAGACGGAAAGTCCGTGTAACTTGCGGAGGTTGTGCTACCCTTCGGATTAACTGTGGTCCGTTAGTAGTAAGATTTTGAACCTCATATTTAAGATACATCTTACGAACAATGAAACTCTATTCTGGAGAACCCAAGGTCACTGTCCCGTGGAATCATTGACACAACAAATAACAGAATCCGGCGGCAACCAAGACAAATTGTCCTTTCTTGGATGTAAGCAGTCAGGATCCCATCGAAATTGCGTTGATTCCCTGTGTGCAACCCGAATTCCCTGCAGTTTCCGAAAGTTTCGCAACACTTTATCCTATGTACCAGATCTTTTTAACCCACCATGTACTTTTCCAGATCAAAATACACAATACGTCTGACTGCGATTTTCTCTGGAACTTACACTGAAAAGAGTTGACTGCATCCTATTTTCCGCTGATCTGTCGACGATAATCCAGGCGACAATCAGTCGCCAGTTCACAATGTTTTTATCCAACGATTCTTCTAGAGTGCCATTCCAGGCTAAGCGTTCCCGGCATGCCTAATGCTTTGCAATCTACCCAGTTAGTAGCTGTTACAACAAGTCGAACAACGTCAAATTAACAATAGAAGATTTCCAATATTCTGTTGGGTAGTATAAACCGGATTATTGTAGGTATTCTGTTTTCTAGTTACCTCAGCTGCCGTTCAACGTCGATTCATCAACTAGAGAACGTAACGGATGATGAAGCGATTGCATACCCTAATGAAAACCACTGAGAGATGGTAGTGGAGAGAAAGGTGATCATTAACGGCAGTCCATGTAACAAAACCTGTTCAAAGGAACATCTGAGCGACGAACTTGCACGGTAAGGTGTAACCATGATCGCATCTTCTAACCGCGACTTGATCTTCACTATGCTGACAGCCGACTGAGATTTTCGTTACTACAGTGTCAGTATAAGTGGCACGAAATTATGGGACATATATAATAGATAAATGAGGTATATATTGCGCTGAATACACACGTGGAAGAAAAACCCAAAAAACTGCACGAAGATTGTGCGTTTTATGGAGCGCAATATAAGTCTGCATGTTCCTACAAGTGGCAGTCCATCTAGGTTTTATAACCTCCATCTCCCAGCAAGAGCTCATTACCTTGTGATCGTAGCGCACCAGTTGCTGAGAGCCTTGAATATATAATGCTGAAGTTTCACACAAACCTTATCTTTGTTGTGCTTTTGAGCAAACTTTTGGTGATAATCCTGTTCAACCCACGCATTCAGACTATGGACGTATGCTGCTAAAACTCGGTCACCGCTCAAACTTGGGTTGAATAGGGTGCCAACTGTTTCATCATGTTTCATGCAGAGGATGTCAGAACGTCCTGTTTTCACCGTCCTTCTCACTCGCTCATACAGAAAATACGAAATGAGATAAACCTCCAAATGTGAGTTCATAGCCACAGATGGATCACACATAATATTTACTGATGTTTCTTATCCAAAACTACGATGCATTTTTCGTAATACACTACTCATAAGGTTGCTGAAAATTCTTCTGGAAACATCGCAAACGAGAGATTCATCTGGGTGCCAGGTGAGTCTCTCGCAAAACTAAATTGGTTTGCAAATGAGTATATTTTGCTGCGACACATTTTGTTTACTAGTTGATATCCACAGTTAGTTTCCACAGATAACACCCGGGTTGATCGGTTTACCTAAGGTGTTCATTGGAACAATCAAATTATCCTGAAATTTGACAAACATGTTCGTTCAGAATGTTCTTCTTGAAGTTGTGCGTTGGACTGTGTGGTTAACGAGGTCAAGATTTGGAAGACCAAACCAATCAGAATTTATGTGATGCGAACGAAAATCAACAAGGACTCTGTGCCATGCACGATAAGCTGTGTACAAGCTTTTTGATGAGCTTTTCCGATGAACTTTCCACAATGAATAAGAAAGCATCTACTCTCTGTGAAAAACCTCCGGTACCGAAAAAAGCACAACTCTGCGCACACCAAATTAGCTTTTAACCTTAATGCTGAACTAAAAGTGTAAAACACTACATTAAGTTATTTTTAAAAAACCAAGACATTTAGTTTGCTGTTTAGTGAACTATTTATCAACCTGTAAAACAGAAGCAGTCTGTAGCACTCGACTGGTTGACTTACAGCTGCACAATACAGGGTGAACTGCCCCATGAGAGCCGACGAATTAGCTACCTGCCTTCACTTGTGCACACCTTGTTTCATGAACAAAGTTTATCAGAGCAACCTCATTCTTGGCTGTCGGTATTTTTAGTTTCATGGAACGAAGTTACTTGTTTATTATAATTTTTTTAATTAAATAAAGCCTTGGAGTGAAACGTGTGGGATAGAAATAAAAATAATCGATATGCTGTCATAAATAGCTGCGCTGCTCAGCACTGACTCAGTGATAAAACTGATGGCACAAAACAAACAGACACATTGCAGCCCGGACAACCCAGTCATTACGATGAACTCCCATCCAGACATTTGTGCCCCGTCTGTTGTTTTCCGCTGTCATCCATTTGGCAGGTTTTTATTCGCCTACCTGATGAGTTCCAAGAAGCCCGAAACCGGTCGTGGGCTGTCGGAGAGTTTTCAGCAACCTTGTGAGTAGTTTCCTCTAGGATCGTTCTTTGTTAATCTTTTCGTTTTCAATGCAACAATTAGGCACCGGTGCACAATATGTGCACACTGGCCAACTATGCTCATTGTGATGTTGACCTTTCAACTACGAAGCCAAACCTTCGTAGCACTGCGTGTTTGAATCTGCGAAAGCTTAGAGCACCCAATGGATTAATTTCATGGCTTTAAAGAGCATCTAGTCTTGCTGGACAGTGGTTTCAAGCAAAACATGTTTCATCCCTACCTATGTTATAACAAGAACTTCCAAGTTCCTCTGGAAAAACTTATAAATTCCAAATTTTTCAGTTGTCTATGTAGCTGCTTATAATTTGTGTGTTGTAAAGGGTGATGGCGCCAGATAAAAACAAACAAAAATGCCTTTGTGTTTGCAATTCTACTCCAAACAGGATCACCGGTCGGTGCTGCATTCAAGCTGCAATGTCGGCCGTAACGTGATCAATAGTAACTATCTCTTCATTTTTTACTATTCTGTTGAGGGTGAAATCATCATCATCATGAATGTGGGCCTCTATCAACGCTCTGCAGACCCTGCGTTCATATCAGTCCAATTCGAATGGTAATTCTTCCTTCCTTCTTAAACCGATTT